AATTCTCAATCATTTATCATTTTGTTTATTAATATAATCTTTGTCTCTGGAACCAAAATAAGCGAAGAAATTATGTATGTAAATATAATGTTCAAATGAAAATGGTGTAATATATTTTTTGAATATTAGATTATTCTGTTTTCTATTATTTTCTCTTAAAATTATAAAATATAAAATAAAATAAAAAGTAGGTAAAATACAAATTCTATATCAATCAGTTGATACTTTGTAATTCTTGTTGTATTGAGTATGATGTATCTTGATTTGTTGAGTATATTCATTCATAAATGTGTTCATTTTATATTATTCTTTATTTCTTTTCATTTACCATCATTTCTATTTTAATATGAAAATATCTTTATGAAATGTAATAAAGAAGAACATTATATTAATTCACATTTATAATGTTAGTTATGAATAACAATGATTATATAAATATGAATATCAATCGTATTGTTATTAATGTGTAAATATGTTACATTTCATTTATCACATTGATGAGATATCATAATGATATGTTAATAGATGTTATTATTTATTTATTTAAATGATATAATTATTGATATGAAAATTAAATTATATCACAGATGATTATCAATGATGAATGATGATAAAGTACAATTTAAATTATTTATATTATCATATCAAACAAGAGTTAAATGATGAAACAAATAAAAAGATAATAAATAAGAAGTTTCAATGAAATGATGATATGATAATAACAAATTGAATAATTTAAACATCAACACAATAATACAGAATGAAGAATGACTATTTAATATGTATTATAAATTAAACATTTATAAATAATAATAATGAATTTAATGTTCATCTTCAACTTTCATTTATGATAATAACTCATTAATTTATCATTAATCATTATATTTATTTTCTTATTATTTTCTTTATTCTTTCTTTTATCATTTTCATTTTATATTTATTTTATTTGAATTTCATCAACAGATATATTCATTTAATACAGAAATTGAATTAGAAAGATATAACTAATAATATACAAATATGTTATTCTCATATTTAATCACAAATATTTGCATCTAATAATATTTTCTACTATTTTTTTACCTTTTAAACATTTAACAAGAAATATTTTACAACATGATAATTTATTTCAATGATCTATCAAAAATAAACACCATGTTTTAAACAAACAATGAAGACAATCATTACATTTAGACACTAATTGTGAAATAATTAACAACATCACAAATCAATATAATAATATAATGATGAATACGAATAAAATGCATAATTTCGTGACCTCTTTATTTTCATCTTTTTGTTCATTATTCTTTTCTTCAATGTTTTTGTCTTGTGTTTTGATTTTTGTTGACTAGTACTATCTTTGTTTTCTTTTTCTTGTTCATTATCCTTCTTTTCTTTTCCTTGGTTACTTGTTTTTTCTTTATCCTTCTTTTCTTCATTTTCGTCTTTGTTTTTTTTTCTAGCTATCTTCATTATCACTTTCCTGATCTTTAGTCTCATCCCCTTTTTCTTTTGGCTTGTTTCATTTTCTTCTCCTTTTTCTTTTCCCTTATCATCTTGTGGGTTGTCCTTCTTTTCATCTTTAGTATGTTCTTCTTTTCCTTCTTTATCACTCTGACTTTCTTGATTCTTTTCTTGACCCTTCTCATTTCCATTCTGATTGCCATCACCTTTCTGGTTGTTTTGGTCTTTTTGTTCATTATGTGTTGTTTCAGCCTCTTGTCCACTTGGACGTTCAGTGTGTTGATGTTCCTTGTTACTTCCTTTGTCATTTTCTCCATTGGATGTTTTTCTGATTCTTTCATCTCTTCTTTTTTCTGCTTACTTCCAACTGTTTCACTTGACCCTTTTACTGCTGGTGTTTCTTTTGACTCTTTACCTTTTTCAGATTCTTGAGTAGTTGGTTCTTCTTTAGGAACAATCTGTTCACCAACTGTCTCTTTTTTTGGTTCTTGTAACTTTTTTATCAACAGTTGTTTCAATTCTTGTTACTTTAGGTATTGTTTCTGATACTCCTTCAACTTCACCTTTTAATTTATACAAATTGTACATTCTTTTGTATTGTTTTGATTTTATTTGCGTGTGTATTAATTTTGTATTGTTAATACTTTCTGTTGCATTAGTAATTACAATAATCAATATGAATATAAACATTGAATAAAATTTATGTAAGTTCTTCTCTTTAAATATTCTTTTCTTTATTTTCTATTATTGCCATTTACATTCATTTTCATTGTTATTGATTCAATCATTTCATTCTTCATTTCATTGTGTCATATTGTTGTATTATTGTATTTTGCAATTTAACACCAATAGAATGAAATAAAATATTAAATTAAAATTCAATTCATTTTTGTAATTTAATCAACAAAATTGAATCATAAACAACAATAATAAAATAAACAATAATTTCAATTCAAACTATTGTTATTTTAAGAATATATTCATCATTATCCATCAATATATAATAATTATTATTAGGATATGTTAAAAATCATACATACCATTTATTATTCTCAAAAGTTATTAAGTGTTAATTATTATTTTATTAATTTTATGAGTCTTTTATTTAAAAATTTATTTTATTCAAACCATAAAACCAAACAAAGTAATAGCAATAAATAATATCATCAATTAACATTCAAATTGTTCATTTAGCCAATGAATTCTTTCTTTTTAGTACCTTAATTCATTTTTTTTTTAACCCATACTTTAGTATCATGTTTAGTTCAAAAAAATATAATATAATTTTATTATAAAATTCAATTACAATAATTATATTTTATTATTGATTATCATGAAAATTATAACAAAAATAAAAGAAATATCAATAAATTTAACATTAGAAAAACCTTTTAATTTCTTCTTCCTCATGTTTTTCTTCTTTTATAAAAGCAAAATGAATTATACAATATATTTAAACATTTGGGATTTATTATCTATTGTTATTTATATTCCAAATAGAATATAAACACAATTTAATCTAAACGAACAATAAAATAATTATTAATCATTTAAATTTAAACATAAAATATTCTAACTTTTAATAAAACCTAATGTCAGTTAAATAAATAACATAATCATCATTCCAATAAGAGAGAGAACTGCCAACGATGCTCCATCTATATAATCTGATGAATTTTTATTAGGTTTACTTTCACATTTATAAATAGTACTATTTTCACAAGACCCACATTTCCATAATTCTCTTGTTTCATTTTTCATTTGTTCATCACATTGACTGTTAGCATAAATGATTCCGTACATATGACCGTTTTCAATTTTATACATACAATATTCATTACTAGCTTCATGACACTTACCACAGATTCCTGTTACATAAGTCATATAGGCGTTATTTTGATGAGAACATTTATTATCATCTTTATCTAAACCAAAGTATCCAATATAATCTGGTATTTCTTTAATTTCAACAGAACAGTTTCTTGAAAGACAAAAATCTTTAAAATGTTCCTCACTAACAGCAACGGAAGTTTCATTTTTGTTTCCAGTACATTCTGATGATGTATTATATTGTGAAACTGTAACATTATTCCCACTCTGGGTATAATATTCAGAAGTTGTTGCTCCTGTATAATAACATTTACCAAATTCAATAACTTGGAAAGTTATTGCTTGTCCATCAGAACTTTTTGAGTTGGTAATGATTATTGACTCTGACATTACAAGACTAAATAACAACAAAATAAATATGTTCATTGGTTGTATTTCTCATTTATCTATTTCATTTAAATACTACTATTCCTTCTTCTTACATTCTCTATTTTTATTATCTGTAGACGTTATTCTTCATGAGTTTTATTCATTTATTATCATTTTCTTTGGTAGTTATTTTATTTATTTGAAAGATTATTTTATTTTCTTTCTCTTTCATTTAAATTTTTTCACCTCTTTTTTTCTTTTCAACTTCTTTCAAGTGCATTTTTTGACATTGTTGTTTATTTATTCTTTTCAGCAAATTGTTTTGGGTAGTTCTTTCCTTTCTTTATTAAAATATTTTCTTCAATTAGAATTATCTAACTTAATTCTTAAACCTCTCATTATTTGTTGTTTAACAATTAATCATATGTTCATTTATTTTAATTCATTTTGTTTTATAGAAATATAATACTAAAATTGGCAACGAAAAAAGGAAATAATTGAAAATGAAGAGAAAGAAAGATACTCAAAGAATAAAAAGAGAAGA